AGATTTCATTGTTTTGGGGACGCTATAAAGCTTAAAACCCATTACTTTAGTACTTAAATGCTGCTACAAGAGGCATTAAATAACAAGAATTTTTTCGTACTTCCAGCGCAGTTTGGCTAGGAAAGTTTTCTGCCGGAAATTACTACTACTTTTTTTCGAACCCAGTTTTTGTACTTTTTTTTGGTTTTTACCGAGGACTGCCTTGCTGAAAACCTGATCGTATAAAAAACTCAAGGAGAGGAAGGGAGGAAGTTAGCGCTTACGTGCAAATTGGACATGCTTATTGAGGCTGTTCCACTTTTACCGAAGATGGGTTTTACAAGTGAAATAGGCCGGAAGTCAATTTATACCAGATATCAGGTAAGATGGGTAAACCACCTTTCTGGAAGAGGCTTTGCGTGTACTCTTCACCGTGAATACATCTGCTAGAATGGGATCTATTCACCAATAAATTCCATTGTTGTTGTTTTCCGTTTTCGTTAAGTCGCTAAACGACTTAGTGGCCCTGGTCGCTTTGAAGCATTGCATTTCAATTTGTGATGGTTAAAGGCTATGGACATCCTCAATTGTCCATTCTCGGATAAATTTTCAGTCCTTCAGGTGACCATAAATTGCAAGCACTGTGTGTATATGGGTGTCTGGAGTCTAGACAGCAATTCTATGGAGAATATGCCGGCTAACGGTGATATTTTGCCTATGAAATCTACTGAAAATTCCACCAGTAGATTTTACTACTTTGTCACGCAATTTCCATTTGGTTACATCCAACCAACTGAATAAGGCGATGAACGTGAAGAGAAGATTGTCGGTTCAGAACTTTGCATTATCACCTACACAATGGATTGGTCTGCTAGCCAATTGCTTCTTATGGTGTCTTGATCTCTAATATAAGACCTTGTAAACGCTAGCTTTCACCTCCATTATTGGCTTTTTGGAAGGAAATCCACCACCACGGATTGCAGAGTATGCATTGCTCGAAATACAAGCATTTTGCATTTACATTGTCTTCGAACTACGCTAATCTGTTTTTACGGCCAAATTTATCGCTAAACCGAGGAATGGAAGTTTGGGTGGGAAAAATCTGTCATCATATGGACACAATGTAGATGGCAAGCGTCACTAGTCAACTTATTCAATCAATTTTGTCGTTCTCGCCCTTTACTATTATTGGTTATGCTGTAGGAATCTGCTGGAACTGGAGGAGAAGATGACCACTACATTTGTCTCTCTACTGAGCCACCTTCAATGCCTCCAAACTCATCCACGTGCCGATGTGGACGCTTCAACAATGACGGAAATGGTGAAGAGTGGAGATGAGGAAGAGATTGAGGTGAACGTGAGGTTGATCGACACATCCAATGGCGATGACCTATAGTTGAGTCACTTACCCTTCCCCTTCTCCTGCCTTACGGAAAATCAGTGCATCTTGTATATACGCGCCTTAGTTGCATCTGTTCCTCTTCCACACCTTTCATTTTCTTCCCACTTCCTTCCCTTCCTTCTCCCCTGAAGGCACCAGCATATGTTCACGGACCAAGGTTATATTTTTGGTAACAAAGCACATTTCTCTTTATCACTCTTTACCTCACTTCTTCCATTCCTTCCTCTTTCACTGTGTATTTAGAAGGAATATACGTGGGCATTACCTGCTCTACTTTGGCTTATTTCCTTTGCTTTGGTGTGTGCTGACTTCATTTAACAAACTAAATGCTTTTGCTAGCATGCAAAGTTTCGTAAGTGGGAGATTGGTCAGCTTTTTTGTCGCCCTGTTTTGATTTCATCACATCTTCATTGTCGGTTTCGTTGCAGAGTTCATTTCAGTTCCAATTGCTTCAGTTTTTTTGTTTTGCTGACAGTTTTGTGATTCGTTACTGTGTTAATGCCTTTTTAAATCACACTCTTTTCGTGTGGAAGCTCGAACTCTAGGTTTCCAGAGGTGGTTTTGGCTATGTGCTTGTGGGTTTCTCTTCCTCAATCTTTGTTGTTTGTCACAAATTCGTATTTGGCTATTGTGACTCTGCTCATTATTGGTGCTTTGTTGGCGTGTCTCCTGAAAATTGAAATAGTCCTCCTTCCTCTTTTTTTCTCCGCCCTCTATTCCCTTGATTATCTCCATACCCAGCGAGGTTTGCGTGGAAACTGGTAATTAGACCATGAGGATTGGAGAAACTTCCTCAATTTTTCAACTGCCTTCACTGTGGTTTGTTGGGTCACAAATTGCATTGTTTTTAGAACTCCCAAGTTCAGGAACCACGTTGACTTTTATTCAATAGTAATAAAGGATAGGACAATTGCTTTTCATATATGTTTATTAGTTGTTACTGTATCGACATTTCTGAATGCTTGAGGAATCTTTTGGATACTTTAGTTTGATGTTCATGTGATCTCCGAAGTATATGCTTACAATTGGTTATCGACCTGGGTTATTTCAAAACTGTTTACTTATCCGAGCTTTCCTACTTCCTCTGTCGTGTCACTCTTTTTTAAAAATACGTTTTTTTGGAAAGCTGGGTTTAAACTAGTTAAATGACGTTGACCTTCTTTGCTTCCTTAAACTTGACAACTTTGGACCTGAAATTTAACCTTTTTGGTTGTAAATATTGTTTTGTGTTTCATACACTTTCCAAGCTCATTTTCTGAAAGTTTCCTTTAAGATTAACAACTCTAACGACTAGTTTTCGGTTTTCTTAAAACTTACTGCAAGTCAATTGGAGGGCATAACGCTTTATGCGTTGTTACTCATTGTGAGTGCGTGAATCCTGATTGCTAAGCTCTGTCACTTTTTTATTGGCCAATTCATAGCCAATCATATGAGTCGCTTCTGGTTCCCGTTGGTGATTGGACTTCAATTTCTTCATTAAATAAACTAAGTTAAGGTTGCTTTTTGGAGGTGTTTAGCTTCCTGTTAAATGGAAATCAGAATTATATTTTATAGTTACGCTCGTTTCAGCGTAGGCGTCGCGCTATTTAACTTTAACTGGTGTTTTGT